ATTTCTGTTTTCTCTTGTTCTGAAATATTTTTGGGTTCTTGATACAGTACTCAAACTGCTACTAAGTCTTAAACAACTTTCTTCCATGCTACTTGTTTGATCAGGAGTAATTCCTTTTGATGGTGGTAATTCGGCACGAGGTTCATTTTCAATCGAAATTTCAAAATCGACGAGTTTTTCGGCAAATGTTGACATATCATTTGAAAAACAGAAAGAATATTCTCCAACATATTTGCCGTAAACACAAAATCTCCTTGACGTTCACGATCACCAGAAATCACATGCTTACCGCGTGGATCTGTTACAATATAGTCAATATCAAAGGAACCACCAGTTTGTACCTGGAAAAACGTAAAAATAAATAGATATATAATTAATAAACCACTAAAGAATAACTTTCAAGATGCTTTATATTGACCAAGAACAGTGTAAATACTGTAAAGTATTAAAATTTCGAGTTGATTTCCTAAAGGATCCCTACTATTTAACTCAATTTTATATAGATGTCATCCTAAATCTAAAGACTTACCGCAAAATAAAAAAAAAAACTATGTATTTATGATTTTGATGTTTTCTGTAGGATAATATTTAATAATTTGATTAAAAAATTTTCCATTAAGAATTTGTGAATATGTAGAGAATTGTGAATGGAGATTGAAAAAGGTTCGGGAAATTGAACAAAGATAAAAGATAAATGTGCAATGTTTTTGATGAATTTTGAAATATTTAGGATGCTATAATTAGTGATAATAAAAATTCATTTTATTTGTCAGAAAAACTAAGAACTTTCTAAAACAATTATTTTTATCTTCTTGGTCTCTTATTTATAATATTTCGATTTAAGGATTTTAATTAATTGCAAGATATGAAAACTTGCCAAAATTTTATTTATTTTTGAATAATAAAAAGGAAAACTTTGTATTTATATTATTCAATCAAGCCAAAAAGATTTTTATATATTAAAAGACCATCATTATATAGTCTCCCTCAAGAAATAGCTATGAATCGATTAGAGTTGCAGTAATTTACAATATTATTTATAAAAGGATTTTAATTAAACCTTTGTCTTTTTTTTTTGTTTTTGTAAGAAGAGAAAGAATAAAAAAAAAAAAAATGA